TTTTTGTACGAAAGCGAGGTACCACCTCTGTGTCCTTCCACTGGGACGTGGACATGGATGGAGAGATGCAGACACCACGCTTCTGACCCGCGTTGCAACCCTTTGCAGCCCCATTTAGGACATCAGAACCTGTATTTGTGCCATCGGGTTAAAAAAATAACCCCGCTGAAAAGACAAGCTTAACAACATGCAGCACATCCACAGGAAGGAAAGAGCAGCTGATGGGCTGCAGAGTGACTTGGAGGAGCTCCCACCCTGTGCTGGAGCAGAGCTCATAACTCTGGCTCACACGGAGGACGCGCCCTGGGGGAATTATTCTACCTTTGATCCGCACACGAAATCCTGGCTGCTGTCAGAGGAGCCGTGCATGCCTAACCATAGCTGTACATCATCCTAATAAAGGCCAAAGAGAAGCTCATATATAAATGGAGTGCGAAGTTTTTTGACACTGGCTCTAATAAATATCAGCATGCTTGGAAAAAAAAATAAAATAATGTGGGCTTCTGTGTCTGAGGTGGGAAAATAGCTATAGCCATACCTGATTGACTGGAAAGAAATATTTAAGGCCGTTGAATCATTAGATAAAAACTGATCTTGAAATGTCAGGATCTGGTGAGGATAACAGAACTGTCAATTCTGTCCATGAAAATCTCCCTTCTCTTTTGCCCACTTTTCTCTTTTATTTTTAATAACAATCCGTTGGAAATAGTGCACTCGTGGCTTGCTGGTATTTGCTGTTCTATTTTAATACTATCCAGTAGTTCTTTCATCCTTTCCTTTTAATATTTACTCGTAGAATTGAATGCTGGGCAAAATTTATCTGCTGAAAAAAATTCCCAAGAGTGAAAACCAATTACATGTACGTTGTTAGTGAAGGCATGGCTGGGGCTTCTGTCCAACCCAAGTGTCCTTCCATTGAGCTTACTGCAGCCCAGGACTTTGGCATTAGGAGTATAATGTGAATGTTTTGCTCTCTGCACCACTGTTCCTTAACTTTGTGTAAAGATGATATTCTGTATGCATCTGTTACACTGAGTATAGCCTTGGAAACATCAACTGCTATTCCACAGGATAATACATAGCTGGTAATGAGGTGGCTGATAGTAAAAACTGTGGCTGGGAGCAGCAGTTCAACATAAGAGGCTCTCCAGCCTGAAGGATTCCAGCTGGAAAAGGACAGTTTAAAATTCTCACATTTCTTCCACATTCAACAACTGCTTCTGCAGCTCAAATGATCCATCCTGGCTATTCCTATACGGCTTGTCACATTCTTTGTGGAGAGAAGGAAACCAGCCTTCAGCTGAGTTCATGGTGGGCTGAGGGTGACCTGAGGCCTTCTGCAGCCTCTCTTGTATGGGGGACAGAGACAGTGCTTTGGCTGAGCCCAACCCCACAGTGGGTAGTGGAACCTTGTGTTGACAGTGGGGCACAGGACAGCTCTGGATGTGTCATAGCCCCTCTGGCCATGGAGCTAAGCTACTGGCGTGATAGAGAGCATGGCTCCCCCAAAAACAGGGACAACATGATGCAGATTTCAGTGGAACTGTCACCCTCCAAACAAGGTCTGCAGGGAAATTCCACTGATTATTTTCTTTCTCCGACTCTGCTTGATAAATTAACTAAGTAGGAGAGAGGGAAGAGGAGAAGCCAAGCCTCATAAGCTGTTCCACTGACTGCTGTGGGTCTCCATTCTGATTTCCCACTGTCAACGTTTTCAAAGACACCAGTACTGCTCAGTTTACACAACACATAATATACAAAGCCAAGAACTTCTTTTGACAGGTTGTCTTAAAAAGAAAAAAAGAAAAAAAGAAAAAAAAAAGAAAGAAAAAAAGAGAAGGGGGATCTCAATTTTAACTACATTTAGTAGTTAAAACCATCACAACTACACACCACAAACATGGAAATCCCATGGGGACAAAAGAGGGGTTACCAGATGTGGGACACAGAGCTGCCATGGGGCTTGGAGGCAGGAGTCCAGCCAGAGCCCAGGCCCTGCCAGCATGAAATCCTCACAACACACAGAGCCAAAACCTCCCAGCTTTAGCAAAATACAGAGAGCCAGAAAGCAGCTCCCATCTGTAATAATTACAACAGAGTTTCCCTTGTCCTTGCTCTATTTATTGCTTCAGCCCTTACCGTGCGTTGCCTGAGACAGAAGAGACTATTAATGATCAGAATATTTATTTGTGGACAGTCAGAGCTTTGGTGGAAAACTCCCTCATTCTCTCAAACATCACCACTTCTTTTAGAGGAGGAACGAGTTGGTTTACACTGCAGATTGAATGAGGCATTAAATGACTGCGTTGCAATGACTGCAGTGGGGGGAATGGTAGCCTCCAGTGGAATTGGAAAGCTGTAATGACGCCTTTATAAAGGCACAATAACTGTTCAAGTATCCTTGTCTAATTTGTCACAAAAGTTGTCCGGGACTTTTCTCTCCTTTATTTTTCAGAGGGGGAAAAGGTGAATATCAGGAATTATGGCCAAGGCTGCACAGAGGCAGACAGGAGGGCACCCAAATCTTCCCCAACTGCTCAGCTCCACGATGGCTTTTTGCAAGGAAACAACTCGCATGCCAATAATAATTGTTATTATTAATAACCAAGTGACGTCTCATTCTCGGTTACATCAGTGCCATACCCTGAGCCAGAGCTCCTGTCAATCACCCCCTCCTCCCCCCCGCCAACAACCACCACCACCAGCAGAGTGGAGGCAAAGGCTGCCGAGGGGGGTGAGGGGTGCGGAGGGCAGCTTTCGAGGAGCAATGGCCTGGGGCCGTGTCTAGGTTTTGCCCGGGGAGGACATAGGCAGCGGGGGGTGACATACATGACATGACATACATAGGGTTTCCAGCATGGCCAGCTCACACCTCCCCCCTCTGCACGCCCGCAGGTGACAGCAGGGGAGGTGATGCCCCCACCTTCGAGAGCCGAGCGCCGGACGGTGAGAGCGGAGAAGGAACGCAGAGAGGCACCCCCGGCCGCTCGGCTGCCCCCATTTCTCGGCCCAAAGCTCCCAAATTCGGAGGCAGCCGCTCTGCCGGAGGAAAAGAACGGGCGCCGCTCGTGGGCGTTGGGGAAAGTTGCGCTCCGGGGAAGCGGCGGTGCAAGGTCAGGGCGGGCGGTGCAGCCCCACCGGTCCCCGAAAGCGGGGAGTGAAGAGGTCGCTTCTCACAGCCGGCTCAGAAGGACCAAACCGCTGAGATTTGCCCTTTTTCCCCGCCCCGTTCCCCCCTCTTTTTCTTTCTTTCTTTTTTTTTTTTTTTTAAAGGGGAGCCAGGTGCACGCTGCCTGCCGATATCCCACGTCGCTCCCTCTTCACCCAAACGAATGATGCAGCACTTTAATTAGGAGGGAGCGCCGCTTCCATATTGCACCGGCGAAAGAGAGCGGCGGAGCCTGGCAAACATGGTGCCCGGCAGCGGGCGCGGAAGCTGCGCCCCTGTCCGCGGAGAGCGCGGCGGGGCGGCGGGAGGACCCCCGGGCTTTCCCCGCAGCCTCTGCAGGTCCGCCCGACAACTTCGCGATGCCGAACCGAGGGTGCAGTTAAGTGTTCTCCCGGCCGAGCACTGGGGGAGTTTGGTTTCGAAGGATGGGTGCGGGGATACGCGGAGCTGCGTGTGCCCGGGATGGGCGTGAGCGGCTGCGGGAGGTGGGGACGCGCGGGGCAGCGGTGATGCGGGAGGTTCCGGGGACAGAAGGGACATCAGGGATACGGAGGACATCGGGTGCCGCGTCCCTGACCTGACCTATCTCAGAGGGGACCCGCGGGTGCCATTCAGAGGAGGAACAGCCCGCGGTTCCTTCCGCGCATAGCGCGACTTTCAGCTCCGAGCGGACACGCGCAAGCCTCCCGCTGCGCTGCGCTCCTCTCCGCGGATCCTCCGCGGGCCGCGCCCCCTTCCCGCCCCGCAGCCCCGTTACCTGCCTGCGGCTCCCCGGGGCGCCCAGGTGCCGGCCCCTTCGCCTCCGCGCAAACTCCGCGCATGGGAACGCGCCCCGTCTTGCGCCGAGGGGAAGGATGCGAGAGGTGCAGCGTGTCCTCCGCCACCAGGTTTTGGGCTTTGCTTCCTCGGAGGGAGGGAGGAAGGTTGGCTGCTGGGTCCTGGAGGAGCTGCGGGGCCGGACGTAGCGGGACGGGCAGCAGCGCGGGGAGCAGCGGGCGATGCGCGGAGAGCGGAGCGGCCGAGCTGGGACAGCTCTGCCTTCCGCGCCGCATCCCCGCAGTCAGGGCATCTCTGATTGCCGTCAGTTTTTTATTTTTATCATTATTTAAACGAGAAGGGGTTGCCAATTGTGACCTATCCCGGCGGCTTTTTCCTCTCTGATTCTTCTTGCTCTTTTTTTTTTTTTTCCTCCCCCATCTGCTCATTTCCCACTTCCTCTCCGCCAACCAGCCCCCTCCTTCCCTCTTAAAAAAAAAAAAAAAAAGGCAGAAAGAAAAAAAAAAAAATGTATAGTCAGGGCTTCCCAAATGCGCGCCCCCGACCTGGTGCCAAGCGCGCCCCCTCCATTTGTTCCCCTTCTTGAAGCTCATTTTCATGACGTGGAAAAGCCTGATCCAGGGCAGCACCGCGCACACACACACACACACGCACCGCACACACCGCACACACCGCACACACCCGGGAAGGAGCGCATCCGACGCCGCCGCGCCCCGGCGCTCCCGCTCCGCGCTGCCCGGTGAAGGCGGCGGCTGAAGCCTGCAGCAGCAGCAGCAGCAGCAGCAGCCCCTCCGTTCCCTCCTCCATTGAGTGTGCCAAACAGCAGCTCTGCATCCTAAAGAAGATCATTGAGGGGCTCATTGCATTCCCAGCACGTCGCAGGCTCGGTTCTTTTTTTTTTTTTTTTTTTTTTTTTTTTTCTTTTGCCTCAGCTTCAGCAGGAGTGGAGAGAGGGAGAGAGGCAGAGGGAGAGGCTGAGGGAACAGCAAGCTTTAAACTCGGGCTTTTTCCCCCCCCTTTCTCCTCCCCCCCCCCCCCCCCCCCCTCTTTTTTTTTTTTTTTTCTGTAACGATGTGCTAAAATCTCTCCTGCAGACCGGTAAGTACGGCTTTCTGGATCCTTTTGTCTTCGCGTAGGGTCAGAGACACCCCCTCTCCCCAAAAGGAGATATAATAACCCCCTTTATTTATTATTAGTATTAGCATTATTATTGCTATTATTAATATTTTATTACAGAAGAGAAAGAACTTAAGTGGCTATTTTTGCAGAGGAGACAGAGAGACTGATACTGCAATAGAGCTCTCATCTCTCTCCCTTCTCCCCAATTAGATGCTGGCTTTAATTGCAGAGGGTATTTCTCTTTTCATGCTTCCAACCATCTCTTTCCCACAGGGGAGGGTTTCATTTGCAAGTTGATCCGAAGGATTTCTTCTCCTTTGGCATTTCTCTCTTCGAAACGCATCTTTCTGCTCTTAAGTTTGGGGACGGGGGGTGGGGGGGGAGTGGGGGGGCAAAACGTTCCAGTTCTCACGCGTGGAAGGCAAAAAGGACCTTTTCTGTTGGGAGATTAAGACTAAAAGCAGTGATTGCTCCAAATAATTCCAACGGGCATTTCAGGGATTCAAGGAAGGCTGCATCACCGCCGCTATTCTCGCCGCCCTTAGCATTTGCTCTGTGCCCATACATTTAAAATATCGGGTGGAAGGATGGGGGAAATGGTATGTTGAAGGAGCTGCATCTCATTAGTACAGTATTATTTTCATCTGATTGGAGAAGAACGGTGCCTTCATTCGGAAGCGCATATAGTAGGATAGATAATTTACCGGCTGGTAAGTGCCAAGGCATTTTCTCTTCCACTTTCAGCTTTCTAACCGGGTCTCCTGCTTGGTGCTGGGGCACAGAACAGCCTACCCCGAGGCAGGCTGAGCGCTCCATCCTGGCTGCCTCCGAGCTGTCACTTCCCCTTAGATCTGCTGATCGCATGGGCATGTGCTTTAGCAAGATTAATCATCTCTAAACGCTTTAATCAGCTAAAATGACTAATATGTGGTATGTATCTATCTATGATAATTTACCAGCTGCAATAATGTTGTGGTTTTGTTCGGATGGGGAATGTTTTCCTTTAGATCAGGGTTGTTAACCATTTGCTGCTTTAAAGATATTGTGGGGGTGCCGGAAGGGAAGCGTTCTGGTAGGGACATCAGCAAACCTCACATTCCTCCCAACTTACCTACAGAATGCACGGAGCTGGCAGGGAGAGAGATGGAAGGGCTGGAATTTGGTAACTTTGAGAGTTTGCATGGATGAGAATCATAGAATGGCCTGGGTTGAAAAGGACCCCAATGATCATCTAGTTTCAACCCCCCTGCTATGTGCAGGGTCGCCAACCAGCAGACCAGGCTGTCCAGAGCCACATCCAGCTTGGCTTTGAATGTCTCTAAGGGATGGGGCATCCACAGCCTCCTCGGGCAACCTGAGAGCTGTAGAGAGACAGCAGAGAGTCCCACTGGGGAGATATCCCTGTATCCATGCGGGCAATGATGGCTCTAAGCCTTGCAAACAAGTAGCAACGACGTGTGGTTGTGAATGACTGTGCTGTGGTGGAACACAGGCAGAGAGGCAACACGTCCTGCTGTGTGCTTGTGTTGCTGTAGGGTCTGCATGTGCTCTCCTGGTTATATAGGTGGCACCTCCTGGGGGGCGGAGGGAGGCTGATATCGCGTGATTAAACCTTCAACATCTCTTAGGTATAAATCAGGGCAAGGCTCGCGCATCTGACACCCTCAGAGCGTGTTGTGAACATCCAGCCAAGCACTGCTGAACTTTGCAGGAGTCTGACACAAGTCTGGCAGGTAGGGGCTCGGTGTATGGAGCGGGGCAGGACAGGGATACTGAAAATCTGCATTTTGTTTCCCATTGCAGTTTTGTAAACGTCAACAAATGATGAAACCTTCCTCGGCAGAGACGCTTCACAAAGGAAGGATGTGGTGGATAATTCTTCTAAGCACAATTGCTCTAGCATGGACTACACCCATCCCCTTAATAGAGGACTCGGAGGAACTGGATGAGCCTTGCTTCGATCCATGCTACTGTGAAGTGAAGGAGAGCCTTTTCCATATACATTGTGACAACAAGGGATTTATAAATATTAGTCAGATAACAGAGTCGTGGTCGAGACCTTTTAAACTTTATCTGCAGAGGAATTCCATGAGGAAATTGTACACCAACAGTTTTCTTCACTTAAACAACGCTGTGTCCATTAACCTCGGGAACAATGCACTGCAGGACATTCAGACGGGGGCTTTTAACGGGCTCCGGGTCCTGAAGAGGTTGTATTTGCACGAGAACAAATTGGACATTTTCAGAAACGACACTTTCCTGGGTTTGGAAAGTCTGGAATATCTGCAGGCAGATTACAATGTCATTAAGCGGATTGAAAGCGGGGCTTTTCGAAACCTAAGTAAATTGAGGGTCCTTATCCTAAATGACAATCTCATCCCCATGCTTCCCACCAACCTATTTAAGTCCGTGTCCTTAACCCACTTGGACTTGCGCGGGAACAGGTTGAAAGTGCTCTCGTACCGCGGGATGTTGGACCACATTGGCAGGAGCCTGATGGAGATTCAGCTGGAGGAGAACCCGTGGAACTGCACGTGTGAGATCGTGCAGCTGAAGAGCTGGCTGGAGCGCATCCCCTACACCGCCTTGGTAGGGGACATCACCTGCGAGACCCCCTTCCACTTCCACGGCAAGGACCTGCGGGAGATCAAGCGGAGCAAGCTGTGCCCCATGCTGTCCGACTCCGAGGTGGAAGCCAGCCTGGGCATCCCCCAGCTGTCCTCCAGCAAGGAGAACGCGTGGCCTACCAAGCCCTCCTCCATGCTGTCCTCCTTCCATTTCACCGCTTCCTCGGTTGAGTACAAAACCTCCAACAAGCAGCCCAAGCCCACCAAGCAGCCCCGGGTGCCCCGGCCTCCTCCGACGCCCCGTGGGCTGTACCCTGGGCCCAACCAGCCGCCCGTGGCCGCCTACCAGACCCGGCCTCCCATCCCCATCATCTGCCCCACGGGCTGCTCCTGCAGCTTGCACATCAACGACCTGGGCCTGACGGTCAACTGCAAGGAGAGAGGCTTCCACAACATCTCTGAGCTCCTGCCCAGGCCCCTGAACGCCAAGAAGCTGTACCTGAGCGGGAATTTGATACAGAAAATCTACCGCTCCGATTTCTGGAATTTTTCCTCTTTGGATCTCTTACACCTGGGGAACAACCGCATTTCCTATGTGCAGGACGGGGCTTTTATCAACCTGCCCAATCTCAAGAGCCTCTACCTGAACGGCAACGACATCGAGCGGCTCACCCCGGGCATGTTCCGGGGCCTGCAGAGCTTGCATTACCTGTACTTCGAGTACAACCTGATCAGGGAAATCCAGCCGGCGGCCTTCAGCCTCATGCCCAACCTGAAGCTGCTCTTCCTCAACGACAACCTGCTGCGCACTCTGCCCACCGACGCCTTTGCCGGCACCTCGCTGGCCCGGCTCAACCTCCGCAACAACCACTTCTTGGCGCTGCCGGTGGCCGGGGTGCTGGAGCACCTGCACGCCATCGTGCAGATCGACCTGAAGCTCAACCCCTGGGACTGCACCTGCGAGCTGGTGCCTCTCAAGCAGTGGCTGGAGGCCCTCAGCTCGGTCAGCGTGGTGGGCGAGGTGCTGTGCGCCAGCCCCGAGCGCTTGGCCCGACGCGACCTCCGCGCCCTGGAGCTGGCCGCGCTCTGCCCCGCCGCCCTCCGCCCCGCCGCCGCCGCCGCCGCTTCGCCCCCCGCCGCCGCCGCCCCTCCGCCGCCCGCCGCCACCGGCGCCGCCGCCTACGAGCTGCCCCCGCCCGGCGCCGCCGTGCCACTCTCCGTCCTCATCCTCAGCCTCCTCGTCCTCTTTTTCTCCGCCGTGCTGGTGGCCGCCGGGCTCTTCGCTTTCGTGCTCCGCCGCCGCCGGCGGAAGCTGCCGTTCCGCGGCCCGCGGGCGGAGGCGGCCGACCTGGGCGGAGTGCCGCTGCGCTGCCCGCGGCTCTGCGAGGAGGGCGGCGGCGGCGGCGGCGGCGGCGGCGGCGGGGGCGGCGGAGGGGAGCGCTCCCCGGAGAAGGCGCCCCCGGCGGGCCACGTCTACGACTACATCCCGCACCCGGTGACCCAGATGTGCAACAACCCCATCTACAAGCCGCGGGAGGAGGAGGAGGAGGCGGCGGGGGGAGGCGGCGGCGGCGGGGAGGCGGCCGAGCTGCTGCGGGGCGGCGGCGAGCGCTTCTCCCACGCTGCCGCCGCCGGAGCCGCGCAGGAACCGGGCACCAACTACCGCACTTTGCTGGAGAAGGAGCAGGAGTGGAGCCTGGCCGTGTCCAGCTCGCAGCTCAACACCATCGTCGCCGTCCATCCCCAGCACCCCGCGGGCGGAGGGCTGGCGGCGGTCCCCGGAGCTCCCGGGGGAGCGGGGGCGGGGGGATGCGGCGGAGGCGGCGGCGGCGGCGGCGGGGGGGCCCCGCGGGACCGCGAGCGGCCGCCGTGCGCCGTGGGCTTCGTGGACTGCCTGTACGGCACCGTGCCCAAGCTGAAGGAACTGCACGTGCACCCCCCTGGCATGCAATACCCGGACCTGCAGCAAGACGCCAGGCTCAAAGAAACCCTTCTCTTCGCGGCCGGAAAGGGCTTCTCAGACCACCAAACCCCCACAAGCGAATACCTCGAGTTAAGGGCCAAACTCCAAACCAAGCCGGATTACCTCGAAGTCCTGGAGAAGACCACGTACCGGTTCTGAGCCGCCCCGCCGCCCGCCCGGCCCCGCCGCATGCGATCGAGGATCCAGCTGTGCTCCCCCCGCCAGAAGTGCAGCGGGGGGGGGCCGTTCTCAGATCATTAATCGACAAAGTGCCTTCGCAGACTTTTGCCAGCAGATGTTAATCAATCATTATTTTTTTATACTGAAACTGAGACTTTGACTGTGCCATGTCTAAGGTATATTATTATTATTATTATTATTATCGGGGATCTTTGTACTGATCCTGATTAAGTAAATGCCATGTGTCTCTCTTTTTTTTTTTTCATTTTTTTTTCCCCCTTTTATTTTTGTTTTGCAGTAACTCCCTCTATATTTTCCCTCGGAGGGGAGGAGGGGGGGGGGAGGGATGGAAGATGGCATTTCGTGGCTTGCTTCCTTCTTGCCCATCATGGCACAGATTCTGTACATTTATTTAAGCAAGCAAGCAAACAAACAAACAAACAAAAATTGCAAAGAAGCAAACGAGCGCAGTTTGCTGCATGCCTGGAAACTGCAAGAGGGAAGGGAGGGGAGGGTCTTGCTCGAATGTCTCACTCGTGTCTCTCTCCCTCGCACACACACACAGACACACACACACCCTCACCACCACCCTGCTGCCCCCTACGGGATCACTCCCCCCCCCCCCAACGGTGCGGGGCCGCAGCCCTGGGTTGTCCCCACGTGGCCCACCCACCCCTCGAGGATGCGCGGTGACGCTTCGTCGTGACACCATGGTTTGTTTGGGTTTTTTTTTTTGTTCTTTTTTTGTTCTTTTTTGTTTTTTTTTTTGAGGACATCCGCACTTTTCCTACTAAAAGCAACACGCGAACATATAGAAAAAAAAGGAGGAAAAAGAAAAAAAAAAAAAAAGAAAAAAAAAAAAAACAGCTACTGGGCACCTGTCACTAACAGCTTTGTAGGAAGCACTTTTAATGTTTTTCTCTCATACACACAACCATGCACACGCACACACCGAGGTACAACGATGTGCTTATATTTATTCTGTAATTTCAAGTGAATATAAATTGTAAAGGTAATGTTTAATCATTGTACAGTGATGCGTCTGGTATAGCTTTCCTAATAAAACGTTTTGAAAAAAAAAACAAAAACATGCACATACATATATATATATCTCCATATATATATATATGTATATATAAGACTACAAAGCTTGAACCTTAAACTCCAGCTTCCCCCTATGAGATTTCCTTCTCCCACTTTAACCTCGAGAGCTATTTTATTAATAACGGTTCAATGCACTGTGATGTTAACAGAGAAAACCCTGTACAGCTTCTCTCGCCAAGATACCACCCGAGACTTCTTAAAACCCGATTTACAATCTGTATTCCCACGATGCGCCGCGCTGATGGCAGTTTCCGTGTATTTAAAAATAGGCAGCGAATTTAAGCCCTCGTTCTCGTGGAGAGCTGCCTCTGCCTGCTGCTAGGCCAGGGGGAGGGGGGCATCGCTAGGGGTGCTCCTGCCGTTCTCATGGCAGTTGATGAAGGGGGATGGGAAGGGGCACCGACTGTAACGCATTTCAATTTTGGAAAACAAAAACAAAAACAAAAACAAAACCTCGGTGCGAGCTGGAAAAGGATGCCTAAAGCATCAGCCGCTCAAAGCGGAGCCAGACCAAAGACGATATGGGGTTGCCCCTGCTGGGGGAAGTCCCGGTCGGTATCTTGGCCTCTGCGGATCAGAGCCGGGCGGTGGCGGCGACTCCACGCGGCCGCAAGGTGGCGCTATAACACCGGCACTGGCTTCCGCTGAGCCGCTGCCGTCCGGCCCCGGTCCGATCGCGGCCCCGCAGCTCCGGGCGTCTCTGAGCGGGATGGTGGGGAGGAGGGCAAGGAGGGGAGAGCTCGGAGCACGGTGACTTGAAGCCCTAAAGCTTGAATTCTGTAGAGAGCGATCGAATCTTATCTCTAAATCTCTTCTTGTCTTCATGGGGTAACGGTAATATATCCAGGTGAATTGTGATTACTTTCCTCGCCCTGCGTTGAAATTGTATCTCCCCGAGGGCGTTTCATCTGGTTGGTGTTAGGGAGGTTGAGGATTTCTGCCCTTTGGGGTTTCCAGCACTGCTTGGTGTCACCTCAGACCCAGCTGTCTCTCCTTTCTGTTGGGAGCAACTCTCTTCCACCCAGCACAATGCATTTAATGGAGGCAAAACCGTGAGTGCTTGTTTCCACCCTGAGCGCCTCTACTTATGGCATCAATGAGTTTGCTTATTGCAGGCTTTTTGTCAGTCTGTCTTAGAGAAGCATCTGGGTGCGACAGAAGTAGTTTCCTGATCCTTGGCAGTAGCCGTGTGTGCTTTGAAATGGAGGGACAGCTCCAAATGTCTGCAATTCAGCATTGGCTTCGTGTCCTTGGTAAAATAATAATAATTGCTATACATTCAGAGATCCCAGATCCCTCTATTGAGCTGAATGCATTTTATAACTGCTGCGTTCAGCTCTAATGTGCTTGGGGAAGGGGGGGGTTGTTTTATGGGTTCTGTTGGTTTTTGGTTTTGGTTGTTTTGTTTTTTTTTTCCTGTCTGGTTGTTGGGTTGATCCTTTTTGTTTGTTTTTGATGCACAGTAGAAGAGCATGGACGTGTTAAAAATAATAAACATCCGAGTGCAGAGGCCAGATCTTTCTTACGATAATCATTGTGGTGTGATAATCATAACTGCATTGATAAGGGGACATGCAAGGAGCACGTGGAGCTGTACAAATCAGGTTAAAGTACAACCCCTAGTGAGAGCGGTGCTGCATACATTTGGCAATGCCATCAGACCCCAAGTGTTCATACTTGTATCCAAATATAGCAAAGCCAGTTGCAAATAGTGTTTATATTTTAATTACAATGCAGGAAGGCAAGAGAATTTCAGCATAACTATAGGTAGCAACCTCACCCGTGGCTGGTGAGGAAATCTATTTATTCAGTGGAAATAAATTTGTTCAATGATGATGGAATTTTGTATTAAAAGAGATAATTTTTGGCTTACATCGAGTTATTTTTCTTTCCTCGTGTAGGAAGCTTTTCCTTTTCCTTGTGTGCTGGGGACTCCCTGAAACCATTTGGGGATGGTTCCCTCTAGAAATGTCGCTAATATATAACTGTGATATCTGATGTATATTGCAATGACTTCTATTTTGCTATTTCATTGTGTCAAGCTGAGGTTGAGCATTGCTTCCCACTGCAGGAAAAGAAAGTGGATCCATCATCTCTGATGTGTGATGAGTGAATATTTACATGCTGTGATTGAGTTGCTCCTAATTCACAGGGATTATCATCATCATCAGGGGTATTATTGGTAGCATTAATAACATTGGGAAGGAACCAAATAAAGTCAAATGATCCACCTTCACGTTGGAGCTGTTTGATGGGATAGTGCTTGAAATAAATCTTTCTGTATTTTAGCATGGTGTGTGACAAGCAGGTGGTATCAGCTTCAGCAGGTCAGCCTATGGTGGTGCTCAGAGCAGTGCTGTAAATCTGTTGCTGTGTGTTTGCTTTACTCACTCATTGACTGTATTGAAGTTCTTCCTACAGGTGGAGAGGACGGGAACCACCAGGTAAGTCCCAATCCCAGCCAGTAAAAGCTGCATGCAGGGAAATAGAGATGATGATGACAGTGCTCAGTGCTCTTTTGTATTTCTTTGGTATTGGCATTGATGTAAGATGATATGTTAGATGAGTCAGAAGTTCTCTTTGCAACTTGAACTTTTGCTGAACTGACTGTACCAGTAGTGATGTTAGTTGTTGAGGTACGAATAGTCTGACTCCCACAGTGCACAATGCCTCTTGAAGTCTTGTGGGATGCTAGGAAGCATACTGCCCTGGTCAGATGAATGTTCTAATTCTAAGGATTCTGTGTCTGGAGACATCATTTGCTCTGAGAGTCAGAAAGTTTGAGTGAAGCTGTGGTAACTCAGCATGTTGTCAGGGACCTTTCCAAACAAAAAACAAAAACCAAAAAACTTTTAATATATTCATAGAATGGCCTGGGTTGAAAAAGACCACGATGATCATCAAGTTTCAACCCCCCTGCTATGTGCAGGGTCACCAACCACCAGACCAGGCTGCGAGTCCTCTTTGTAGATGTGGTTTGAAGCAGACCGACTTGTATTCTCTGCTATAAACAGCATTATGACAGAAAGGTCTCTGCAGATTGTCAGCATGCAATGGTCTCTATTTCTGGAAGGCTGATGTGTGCTAGCAGCAGCTCTTGAGTGCTATGCTCCTTCTTTACTCAAGTACCTGCTTCAGATGGAGTTGAAGGGTTCACATGAACAGCGTGTGATAAATTGGCTCTGTCTACAGCAGAAGTGTTCACGTGAAGGGAGTGTGCAGAATCTGGCTGTAAGTTTGGAAGTTCACTGCTTATCTGCATTACTCAGCCTGAGAATATGGCTTTTGGCAATCACACCGGCCATTTCGGTGTGAACTCGTTCCAGAATTGCACTTCTTCCAATGGCATTTGCCTTTACAGCATGGATACACTCTGCTGCACATTGCATGTTCCTCCTTGCTGAACCAAGATTTGGTTTGAAATCTGACTTCCTCGTATCTGACTTTCACAATAAGCTCATGTATGGGTTGGATTGTACAACAGTCGTTTCCATGTGAGAAGTACAGTAGAATTTCACCCCATATGTAGTTTCATAACTTATTCACACTAAAACCTTTCTCTTTGTAAAAAAAAAAAAAAAAAGCCATTTTTAATAATGTGTGATGGAAATACTCTTTTTCCCCCTCTTCTTGAAAAGAAAAACTGATTTATTCTGGAAAACATATCTAAGCCCCAATGTGATGCATGATTGTGCTTGTGGAAGAAGTGGAATATGCCAGGAGCAAAGCTTTGTGTGGGCATGGAGCTGAGGTCTGATCCCATTCCTGTTGAAAGCAGTGGTGGATTTCATTGCAGCTCAGTTTTGATCAACGGATCCAAAGGCGGAGCAAAGCCTAATCTCAGAAAATTGCAACCTATGTTCAGTGGTTCCAGGTATCCTCAATAGTCCATGGGACTGTTTCTGAATAACATGGAGAACAGCATAGGGAAAAAGGCGATACTGGTTTAGTAACTGTCTCGATTGACCTCATTAGTGAATAACCCATTTTTAGCACTTTTTGGTATGAAAGAAAAGAGCTTGCATGAAGGCAAATATCACAGTAGTGTCACAGTAGGTTCATGAAATGTAGGAAGTGGTGGAGGAGTTCAGATCTAATGTATAACGGAGAGCCAATCTCTAGGTTACTATATCCAACAAGATCATTCATGTAACAATTGCAAATACCTTATTGGTATTGCCTTTTTCTTTGAAAGCAAGAATATTTACAAGTACCGAGAATTGGGTTTTTGTATGTGTATATTTAAATGTCTTTTGCTTAATTCTTAGAGCTTCCCGGTTCTTTTGAAGTTGTGTGTTTGTACTTTTGTTTAGGTCACTTGGGGAGATAGGGGTGACTGTTGAAGCCATCAGTTTTGCTATAGACGGTGATCATCAGAAGGTTACGGGTGTGACGTGATGTAGGTTATCTTTATCATTATGAAAGCATTTGGAGACATTGGATTTTCTCTTTTAAATCTGCTGATATTGTGGTGGCTTTCAGTAGAGCGTCAGATTGTTCACTTCTTTGTGGGAAAAAGATGGGGGAAAGTTCAAGGAGTTACTGGCTTTGCTATAGGAATTCCCTGTCTAAGGGTTGTACCTCCGTGGAGTGGATGCTGCATCAGTCTTTACATTTTGAATGTGAAGGATTGAAATTCTAAATGAAGGATTATTTTTTTGACACTAGGAAGATGTACATATATGCAATACTAAGAAGTCGTGTGCCTTAAAAAGAACAGATAACTATAGAGGGTATAGCACAATATAGCATATTAAAAGCTC